ATATATATATATATATATATATATATATATATATATAGGCTGGATAAAAATTTAGCGGTTCTATTGTGCTAATTTATCGTCTCTAGTGTTCCATATGCTTAAGAATGAGGTTCACCAATAGTTATATTGCAAAATCCACTTCAAATTAGCTAAGAAATGGGTGCTTATTCCCATTTCTTGTTTACTAGATTTTACGATTGTTTTAGAAGCTTCAATCTAATTGGGTCTTTCCCTTAGTGGAATTCAAATTGTACTATTTGCTTAGAATTTGTGGGGGGGGATTTCTTTGTATGTTGATTAAAAATTCGTCTTATTTTTAGCCTTATCATATACCTTTGAATTATAGTAAAACGTGATCTGGACATGGTGCTAATTTGAACTCAGCTGAAAAGCATTTGATATCTTGAAGCAATTTCTTCTCGATGTTGGACTTTAAAGAAATACATTTTTCTGAATGAAATTCTCGGAGGAATGTAATTTCATATATTACTGTTGCTGGTACATTTATTCCTAGAAATTACCAATTAAATTGTGGTTTATCTAATGGGGTGAAATAATTTTGTAAATGCGAAGTTTGTAAAGAGAGCTACTTTAATTCGTAATTGCGAAGATGATCAGATCATAATAAAACAATTGCTGTGGTGACAGAAACGGCAATGGATTTGGGAATCTCTAGAGATCGAATGTCATTTACCATTAATGACCTTTATTAGGCTAAATGCTTGATTTGTCAATGAAGAAAAATTATCGAAAATTTTTTACTAATTTATCAAGGCGGAGAACATTCATTTATTTATTTATATCAAATAACAGGCGTCTTGATGGTTATCGTTAGCCCTTTAGTTGACTCCAGACTTCACAGAGGGGAAGGAACATCAAATTGAAAAAAGTCGAGAGGGGGGGGGGACAGAAGAGTGTTTCAAAGATGTAAGAGACAAACACAAAGGTAGAACAAAGGTGAGGTAAGTACCGTGAAAGTAGTCGAACATGACATACAGTGGGGTCATGGTAGTTTGAAGTCAGAGGTCAACTGCCAGTTAATTGACTTTTTTGCCGTATGAGTATACGTTGCCCAGGGTGCACCACGTGGAGGTAAGTCTATCGCACACCCAGTTGGCTCTCCCCTCAAATTTCAACCCTACACGGATGGGCCGGAGCATGCCGTGCAGCACTATGTTGCTCACCGCCTGGGTCTGTTCATGCGATTTGGTGTATCCACTCTTCCTCCCAACCGCTCCATCCAATGCCCCATTCTCATCTACACACCCATCAGATACTAGCTCCCATGTGGAAGCCCAAGACGGTGTCGATGAAGAAGGAAGGGGAGGAGAAGAAGAAGAAGAAAAGGAGGAGGAGGAGGAGGAGGAGGAGGAGGGGAAAGTGGATGATGATAAAGTGGTCGAAGAAGATGAATATGTAGAAGAAGCTAATAATGATGATGATGATGGTGATGAGGATGAGGGTGGTGCAGGTGGTGGTGGTGGCGGTGGTGGAGGTGGTGGTGGTGAAGAAGAAGAAGAAGAAGAATAGTCTCGAGCGCACTCAATGCGAGATATCGTTTCACAGTCAGACGTCCACTAAAATCAGCCCAAGGTGAGGACGAGATGGTTGGGTTAGGTTGGGTTGGGTTGGATTGGATTGGATTGGTTTGGGGTGGGGTGGAAAACATAATCTTGGTTTTGTTTTTCGTTTGAAGGTAAGTTGTAGCGCACTGCTGCACCAATAAGTCTTGACTTAAGCCCAGTAATATCTCTATGAAAATAACCCCCCACGGTGAGGAATGCGTCTACTTCGGATCTATGTCCACTCCAGTGCTAAGTAACATAAATTTCTTGAAAGGTTTGTTGAACTATACGGGGATTATTGATTTAGTGGCTGACTCAGAGGACCTGCGATCACGATCCCACTCAACTAGTTCCACGGTCACTCTTTCGACTCTGTGTGGTTGTGCATGATAGTTCCTTCTTCAGTCACAATGAACTGGTACACTCCACAAAGAGAATCAAGTATTTTGCTATTGTAAAATGTTTAGACTTTCTTAAAGAAATAATTTCTCACATTTTATAAACTGCAAAATTGACGTAGTTCCAGGCGGCAGGCAATTATTATATGTACCCATTTTCGGCACTGAATGAGAGGAGGGAGTTGAAATAGATTAGAAGTGATACATAAATTCAGATGATCTAAAAGGTCTTACTTTATTTAAATTCTGCGATCTGTTTTGTGGGACACGTTATCGCCATATGCGTCATCGTATGCCTGTATGTCTGCTCACCAGGATTGGGAGGTGCGGCCGTACAACTCTGTGTGCTGCGACCGTACAAACAGTGACCAATCATTAGCCTCTGTTTGTTTAACCTAATCCCCCATCCTGATCATGATTAAGCCCCCTACGTGTACTTTTTATCCTCAAAATACGCCCTGAATAGACATGCTCCGTGCTACACGTCTGTTTCCTTTCATAGCTGGGCTATAGCTTAGCTGGTTCTGGTAGTCTAGCTAGATGTTGGAGATCTTGCCATCGAGATTTCTGAGTCAGTCAGGCTTTACTAAGGTGTTTAGCTGGTTCTGGGAGTCTAGCTAGATGTAGGAGGATCTCCCATTGAGATTTCTGAGTCAGTCAGGCTTTACTAGCGTAGCAATCCGCTTCACTCACTTTTACAATAACCAGAATTATTTTTTTGATAATTAGGAATACTCGGATAGTGGTGTAAATTAATATAGAAACGATCAGATTACGGGCGGAAAATCAAGTTCAGATGATGTTATCAACCAAACAGGAGAGTTCCTTCTCTCGCCGCCCTATCTGAGACACCGCAAAGTGGACACATGAGAACGTCGAATAATTTAAAAGTGCAAAATTGAAGCAAAGAAAAGAAGGAATAGCGACCTTGTGACCAAAATGCAGAGAGATGTTAAATTCGGAAACTGAAAAGCGGAAATAGGAATGTTACACACAGACACACCAGTCACTTCAAGCACTTAGAGCACACCGTGGACACATGAAAATAGTTTTTTTTTAAAAGGGAAGATAGATTTATAATTTGGCATCGATGAACTTCATTTACAATTTTACTTCTTTTTTTTTATGATAACATGTACTCCTTTTCGTAAATGCTGCCCACAAACCAACCTTTGACTGTTGACTCTAGATAAAATATTTTAGAATAATTCCAAAAGATACAAACACCCCGATAATTGCTAAAATATGCCGACCACGAAAAGCGTGCAACCGACTTTTCTTCAAAGAGGAGTTATCCGATAATTTATAGAATAATGTTTAATTTAAATTCAATATTCACACATTTAAAAAGTAAAACAAACAAAAATGTTATGTCACTGCATTTGTTTACTACTCCGAATTTTTTTACTGTAATTGATGATCCTTGTTTAATCAACGAGACCAACCGGATTTCTTATTGAAACTAATATAAAGATATAAATTATGCAATTTCCAGTAACTAATCGTGTAGCTAATTTGACAGGATTTCATAAAATCGAGAACTTCGGAAACCGCATTAAATTGCTTTATCTGAATTTAGTATATTCTTGGAAACTTACTAAAAGTTATTCGACAAAAGCGGTTCTAATTATAAACCGTAATTAGAGAGATTTGTGTTTCGAGAACCCTAAGTACCTCTCTCATTTCAGAAACATTTAGTATGAGATAGGAACAAACGCATTTGCATTACCTACTCATGCCGTTTATACAAATGAAAATTTTTCTCTCAAGTGATGCCTTCTGAATTGTAAGTCCTTATAACTTATATCCAGTTTATTAGAAAAATTGGACAAATAAAATCCATTTATAACTATACGCAATCACCAAATTAAAAATGGCGATTCAAAATGGCAGAGTTGGACTATACACACAATGTGAGTGCTTCAACGAAGACATCACTAAAGATTGTAACTAACACGATACCGATAACTGATAGAAGACTATTCTATTCTAATATTTTCTTGCGGCAAGCATAGTAGTGTCACATCCAAAAGTAAAATTATTTAAGGCAATCATTGAATTAGATCTTATCGACTTACCTAGTGTTTGATAACTACTCAAATTACTTGGGAATGTTTTAAAAATGGGAGGAACACAACAATTAATTTTTAATTGCCGCATCATTTAGTATTTGTACATCTAGGAGGCTGGAAAATAGCCCACTGAACGAAGAAGGTATTTAGATCAACATTGAAATGTAAAATATATTTTATCCGACCACTTCCTATCACGAGTAAAATATATTAATTGTAATTAATACAATAGTGTTTAAGAAAATATTACAATTTTTCGAAATTTTATTCACGTTAGCTAGCTTGTGGCATGTGAAAAACGTAGTGTTGTTTGAAGGAAAAAAGTAAAAATGACTGGAAGAGATTCTTCCAAAACAATTTCGCTATAATAATACATTGGCCAAAATATAAAGTCAATGATGATACCGAATTGATAAACTTGGCCGCATATTTATTCAATATTTGAGTAAATCAAATATCAATTAGTATTGATTAATTCGAAAACTAAAATGTATTTTTTTCTTGGTTCATCAGTTTAAAATTAGTTACTAAGCAACCTCTATTATAAAGGGAATATTGGCACCACCTATTAAAAGTTTAATGTCAATTCAAGAAAAAGTAAGATACTATAAAGGTTTCTTTACTTGATTTATAGAGTGTAGAAATCTTTCAAGAATTATAATTAAATAATGTAATAGAACAATAAGGTGCCTTATATAGATCAAAATTGATTTAAAGGCTGAATATTTGACCATAAGATAAGCATATTGTAAGTTATTAGTTCAATTCGACAAAAACATATATATATATATATATTATGATATCTATACTATTTTTTGTTAAAACAACATATGAATAACGCCGAATAATAAATAGACTTTTTTCTAAATTTAACTCGAATGTAAGCGTGCAAGGGTATGAAATGTTTAAGATTGAAAATTTAGTTAATTTTGGTGTTAAGTTTATAGATGCAAAATTTATTTTAAATTGATTTCACTTTTATTATAAGCGTGACCTTCAAGCACGTGGGCAATTGTTAAAATTATTTATAGTGTAGGCGGGATTACAGGCGGTGTGTGAAGTCTTGACCCGCGGAAATGGCTTCATTTTTCTCTGATTTCGGTAAAATTCTATTATTATTTTGAACATATTTTAGAGGACCAGTTTTCTGAATATACTTGGCCTCGTCTCATATATAGTGCTGTACGTGTTCCTGCATATCACTTCTATTTTGAAATAGTCCTTATAATTGGCATTATCTGGTTGCTATTCAAACGAAGTTACAACATTCATGAGAAAACTACACTCTCAGAAGAGGAAAAAGAGGATTTATTAAAAGAATGGGTCCCAGAACCTCTCGTTCCTGCATCAAAGCAACCGTCGAAGAAACTCTTGGAGCGTTTTTCTCGAGCTGCTGTTGGACCCATTAAAAAGTACGCCTATTTATTGTTTTGATTAGATTTGATTCAGATATGTACAGTTTCAAGGTGAAGATGGTAAAGGAACAAAACCTTTCCTCAATGTCGCCAGTCTAAACTTTCTTGATTTCATCGGTGACGATAAAATTAATAAGGTTGCTATTGCAGCCCTTAGAAAATATGGCCTTGGCTCTTGTGGCCCACGAGGCTTCTACGGCACTTTTGATGCCCATCTTGACATGGAAAAGGTTCTGGAAAGTTTCCTTGGAGTCGAAGAGGTTGCTCTGTATTCCTATGGTTTCTCCACTATTGCTAGCGCCATTCCAGCTTACGCAAAACGCACTGATCTAATATTTGCTGATGAAGGAGTCAGTCAAGCAGTTAAAGAGGGACTTACAGCTTCCCGAAGCACAATTCGTTTCTTCCGGCACAATGATATTGATCATCTTGAGGAATTAATGCGTGCTCAGGAGGCAGAAGACGTCTTAGATCCTTTAAAAGCCGGTCAAATCCGACGTTTCCTAGTGGTGGAGGGACTCTATCTTGACTATGGAGATATCTGTCCCTTGCCTCAACTTGTTGACTTGAAGTACAAATATAAGGTTCGAATTATTATGGATGAATCGATTTCTTTTGGTGTGCTTGGAAAAGAAGGTCGTGGAGTAACTGAACACTTTGGAATCGGCGTTGAGCATATCGATGTCATCACAGGTTGGTTACCTCTCCGCTTATTTTCCTTTCCTTCTAAACCTGGGCTGCTTACGCCATCCCACTCGCCTCAATTTCGTGACATAAAGTTTCGTTAGCACTTTCCAACGAGAATTACGTTTTATATGCATTTGGAAGCGATTTCAGTGCTTGGAGCTTCATTATTTTCAGTTAATTATATTTAATCCCATTTTTTGAACTGCAATTGGGGTTTGCACTTGTTGTGGACTTTGAAACTCTTGCTTTGTCTTGTACTTTTTCTCTCGTGATTAGTGGATCTAAGTGCCTAGCGATATGCGAACTATCACAAAATCATCATAATGCTTGCATTGTGATGATTTTAAGGAAATAATTTCCAATTGCTTTAAGCCTTTTGTACTAATGTAATTCCACCTTCTTCTGGTTATATTTTATTTTTCGCGTATGACTTCTAAAATACTTTCAGTCTGCTGCGTTTAAAATTATTTTTAAACAATTTTTATTGGAAGTTCATTTTCTACTAACTCTATTGGTGATCGGAATTAAATAGAGCGGTTTGTAGACGACACCTCTTGAAATTTTACTCGACTAGCATTTCGTTATCATGTTTCAAATATTCCATATTGTTTTGGATTCAACTGTGAGATGATTGTGTCTTATTGAACCATAGTTCAGTGTTTGCATTAAACTCCTTCTAAGTTTGATTGGCATGGAGGTTGATGTCAGTTTTGAAGATTACTTTCTCATGTGTGACCTTCCAATCACTCATTTACCATAAGACTTAAGACACCGTAAGATTGATTGGTGAGAATCCTTAATCATGATTATCCCTGAGGCACAGTGACGGGTCAAAAAACATTCTTTTTTTCTGCCAGCATGTCCGCACAATTGATGTCTTTGAAATGCACTTTCTTCTCTTTAATCACTCCCACATCAACTGGTCCTTAAACGTCATGTGTTTTCGTGCCACGTACGTAGTGTGCAGCTCATCTTGCCAATGCGTTGAAGAATGATCAGAGTACAGCTGACATGTCTGAGGTGATTTGTGGCGACTATTTAGGGTTAACTGTGGTGAAAGTCAAATATTTCCTTGACCTGGACTCTTTTCGTCTACCATAAGAAATGGTTCGTTTAATTTTGTGTGTGTGTTCAGTATCTGTTGGAAGCGCAATCGAATATTCTCGTTACACTCGAGAGTCCCAAAAGCTTCACCTCTCGGGCATTTAGGAGGATTTCCACGCTCCTATCTGGTTGGGTGAGATCACCACTGGAGAAGCCTTTGATGCCATCATTGTCTAACATGTCATCAACGACTTTTTGCTGCCTTTTCGAGCTGGACTTCTCGTCTGTCTCAGAATTTAATTAGATCATAAGAAATAGCTAAGTAGAAGGAAGAGTATATGCATGCATTTGGTTTTTTGGCAGATTTTTTCTTTTCTGCTTTTTTTCACAATTCTCCTTTTTTTTGTTCGATTCGTTTTACATAATTTGCAGTAAGTGCGGTGTTCAGGTTGGACCTTATTCAAAATTCCTGTTTAAGATCCGATTTGAGTGCGCGCTTGACCTGTATTAGGTTATTCTTTATTGTCTACCTAATCCTTTGTAATCAGCAGTTCTGTAATGTGCTCTGTTCAGGTAAAGCTTGCCCTTTTAGGGTCTTGGTGGCCTTACCACGTAGTTGCGAATGAAGCCACATTTGTTTGACCTAATCAAATGCTTCAATTTTTGCCTACTTTGTCCTTGGTGTTGCTTCTATCTGCAAAAGGAGTAGGTGGGGAGGGGGGGGGGAACATTGGATATGATTATTTCGAAAATTGTCAATACCTCTTCGCCTTCACAATTGCGGGAAATACTTATTCATTTATTTATTTTTATCAAATGGCAGGTGTTTTGAAAGTTATCGTTAGCCCTTTAGTTGACTTCAAGTTTCACAGACGGGAAGGAACGTCAAGGCTAAAAAATTAAGTCGAGATTGGGTGGGGGAAGGGGGGGGAATAGAAGAGTGTTTCAAAGATGTAAAGAGACAGACACAAAGGTAGAAAAAAGGTGAGGTGAGTACTGTTAAATTGGTCGAATATGGCATTCACTCGGGTCATGGTAGTTTGAAGTCAGAAGTCAGCTGCCAGTTAATACACGTATTGTCGTATGAGTATACGTTGCCCAGGAGCACCACGTGGTGGTGAGTCTATCGCACACCCCAAGCAACGATGTCGCGAGTTTCCACGTATTGTTTTGTTCAGTATGTGCAGTCTAGGCTGGAAACAGCAACCGAGGTGTATTTGCCATCCGGGCTCCCATGAGTGGGATGCATACTTGGTGAAACTTGCGTTCTTGATTGGGTTTTTCTCCTCAAAATCGAACAACAGGCATTGCTGCACAGTTGAGTGCACAACAAATGTGATTTTATTTTTTTTTTTGCGCTTCACTTATCTCAGGTTTTCGATTACTTCCCCCTTGGGCGCGAGTGTGTCGTCACTATTGGCAATCATGAGGTAACTAACATAACCTCACAAGAATTGTATCAACCGCATAAAGGTTTTGTGTGGCGGGAGATGTGGTCAAATTTTTCACAAATGTCTTACTCCGTTTCATTCGGCAATTTATTACCTTACTCTTCCTGTTCTTAGTGATTGTAACCCACTTCGGAACGTGTTCCAAAGTTCCAATTTAAGGACTCCCGGCTTTGCTTCTTAGTCAAAAGTTTGTACTTGGACGTGTGTCATGTTTTACTTATTAACAGGCTCACTGGAGAACGCAATTGGTGTTTGCGGTGGTTTTTGTGCGGGATCGCACTTTGTTGTCGATCACCAGCGTCTCTCTGGTCAGGGCTACTGTTTCTCCGCCTCTCTCCCACCCATGCTGGCTGCGGGTGCTCAAGTCGCCATAGAGACTTTGGCAACGGAGAAGGGTGTCAGACAGGCTCGTCTCCGTGATCTCGCCCATCGTCTATTCAGCGCTCTCAATACACCCGACATCGCGACTGTCTGGAGTCTTGATCATCATGCTCAACCCGATTCTCCTGTTATGCACATTCGACTGGCTATTGGAGAGAATTCAATTGACCGATTGGAAGAGGCGTGCGATTTGGCCGCTCAATTGCCTATGAAAGAACCGGAGGGTGGGCTCAAGGCTACGCCGGTTCTTCTTACCGTTGCTCGGTGAGTTGATCTCATTCTCTGGGAGTTATAATAATTAAAATTTACATGAAATTGTTGTATAAGCTCCTTGAAATGAGATTTCAGGTTTGAAAATCAGTCCTTGTGGAATAAATCGTGACCTGTCTATTTACAGCAGCCATATTTGCGTTGTAGAACTGTCACAACGCTCAGGCTCTCAGTGAGAACAGTAGACTAATTCCTTGTTGGTATAACATGGAATCAATATATTCTATTTAAGTTAAGTTTTGATTGACCAATTATGATTGAACCAATCTTTGGGCTCCCCTGCTCTATGTTGCAGAATATAATTGGTCAGCCAAAGGACCAATTAGTGAATTGCGCTTAGTATCGACATGGCGTTTTAGAAGGATGACTAGTAGCAACGTCATCTGATTTTCCCCTACTTATTCTCCAGGCTATTTTCTCACAGTCTTCACTGTGATAACGAGACAACGATAGAGGAGACTAGGCAGCGATGATTGGAGTTTTATAATGAAGCACCGGGTACTCCGAAAGAGGGAGAAAGTGTGAAGTGTTTTTTTACATAGGGAGACTCGATGGATCATCCAAGGTCATCTCAATATCTTCTAGAGGTGCTCACGACAAATATGCTGGTAGACGGTGAGAAAGTTTCAGTTTGAAAAAACAATTTCTCATTTTCAACTCCTCGATGTGACCTACTATGAGGAGACGCGGGAGTGAAGAAGACAATTATTGGAATAAAAATTAATTTAAGAATCTCGCTTATGGATTGCACAGTTGGGGGAGTTTATGAATGGGGATAATTTTCGTACCTACCATGTCTAGTGAAAGCAGGTCGATGCATTGTAGAACGCGAGCTCTCCATTCGAATGGATGCTTTTTTTGACAATAAAAAGGCGGCTTCGCTTCGAACCTCGAGTTCGAGTTCTAGTTTTTCTGCGAAATGTGGGGACTTTTTTTGGTGATTTGAATGAAAATTTGTTTCACTTCAAATCTCTGTTGTTACCTTTTGCACAAGGATTATTTTTTGTTTACTTAAAGTGACTTTTCACATTTATGCGACCACTTCTTATTTTTGAGGGGGTTGAATGGATTTACAATTTGTGCACACATTTGTTATTCCATTATGTTATTATCGCCTACCCTTGACAAGTTTTAATCACGGAGGTTAAAAAGGTGGAAATGGTCAGGAATGAAGGGATGTGGGAATCAGTACATCACATGTTTGTTGGTGCGCCAATAGGGGTGGGGATTTTAATTTTGTTACACTGTTTCCAAAGCGGAGAAGAGCTCTCATTGATCTCATGGTGGCGATTATAATTGGCCACAGCCTTGTCTACTGATGTTGATCTACATTTACTTCATGTGATATGCTCCCCATTTATAGGGGAAGTCAAGTTCTTGATTTTTCCTTCACTTTAATGATTTCAGGTTTAAGGAGGTTCTGACGAGTGGCGGTGAACATTTTTACCAAAACGTGGGATATTTTTCCCCCAATCAAGTTAAATACAATTTACTGAGACCAGCTTTAAAGTTGAATCTCTTTCTTCAGATGACTTTTTGTTGTTTTCAAGCAGTGGCCGCTATCGCAATAGTCCCCGAAATGAATAAACAAGTTCAGTTGTAAACCCCCCCCCCCGGAAACCAGTCAGTTCAAACAAAATTTTATTTGCATCAGGTGGGACAAACACGCAACAAATTAGATCTCACAACAAAATAGCAGCGTTTCAAGGAAAGACAACCGGGCAATAGTCGGATGCATTATCGGTGCAAATCAATTTAGCCTATTTGTTGACCAAGATGATTGCTATAATTCCTGCACTTAGTTTTGAAAAAGGGGATGCACTAGAAGCCTCATTTCTCAAGACTCCTGTGAAATTGAATTGAAGGGAATTTGAACGCCCTTCAATGTGGTAGTGCACGCGAGCACTTGACTGAAATCGAGAAGGCTTAAGTTCAGTAATTCATTCTTCTCACGTTTTATTACTGCCTCCTTTTTCAGGGGATCTCTGATGATCTCGCATTGAATCAATTGCCATTGTTAAGGGGAATAGTTGTCGCCTCCGTAGGGAATGTTGGCCTGCACTTGGCAACTTTACACTCCTCGAATCAACGATTTCGTATCTCTTAGTTAACACAATTCAAACAGTTCGATAACTCGTCTGTTCTTCTATGATTCTGAAATTTTCATTTACTGGCTTCTTACCTACATGTTGGCCCAATTTGAATTGGGAGAAATTTTCGTTCCTTGAATCTGCGTTTTACTTTTATATCAAAAAATAAAAAGATAACGAAACAAATGCAGTCAAGATTTTCGTTCATGGTATAAAATATTCGCGAGATCTCCTTTTCCTCCACTGCTGTCGCCATAAAGGGAGCGCTGTTCGGCTTATTTCCCTCGGCTCAGTTCCGAGACATTTGGGGGGGGGGGGGGGGGGGAGTGGTTGTGGAAGTGCAACCCCTTAAGGGAACTTGAGATTCCCTTCATTCTCAGCCAATTGTGCCGATCTGTTCACAGCTCCTCCTCCTCGTCTCATAAGGCGGAGGAGTAAGGGAAAATGACAGTCCTTACCAGCAGCAACGCGTCTTTCATTTCCCCGAAAAAGAAATTGAATAAAGCTCCTCCGTCCTCAATTAACAAGTTCCTGCTATTTGCAGTTTCTTTAGAAAATGACATGAAACAGAAACTCCAGAGACTTTTTATTATTACCATTTAAGAGGTCCAAAGGTGCCAAAGTCGTGTGTGAATACTTATTTAGTTGAAAAAACTGCCCTAAGTCTGCTCAGTACGCAAGCTAAATTCTTAGTCCACTTGGAGATAACCTAATTGAGTTTCCATTTTTTGCGTACTTTGTGAGACTCCAATTCCGCCAGACTCTCCGTTGGGTCAATTGATCGATTGCGGTTGGCACAACAGCGCTGCTGCTGCTGCTGCTATGCAGCAATGGACGATTAAAAAAATGGATCAATTTACTCGTTTCATGCTCCCCACTGACTGTGTCATAATGCAATTAAAATGTTTAGGGGGGAGAACAAGCTTTGAATGTCTATGATAACCCGATAGGAAAAGTGCGTAAAATCGTTCATTTTCGTGCGAAATAAACGAGAAATAATTCATTTGTAACTAAAAAAATTTTTCACTGATTAATGGTTGTTTTCTAGCCATTCCCTGCAAATGGAGAGGAAACTGCCCAAACCCAGCATCCGACTGGCTTTGAATTACACGCTGTCGAATGAGGAGTTGGACCACGTGGTTGAAGTGCTTCAGAAGGTGGGAGAAGTCATGGCTGAAAGAGCTTAATCGAATTCCATTCCCCCTTCACGCCGTTGCCGGCTGTCGTCCAAGTTAACTTTCATGATGTTTCCTTCAAACTTGCACCGTCCAAATTTCCACTACTACTTTCTGCTCTTCGCTTTTTGAATCTTTCTTTGATTTAATCACTGTCGCCTTCTTTTCCTTCCGGTGTTCTCGTATCTTTTCACTCGGGAAACCTTTTTTCTGATCCTTACCTCCTTGTATGGCCGCCTTTTTTGTATTACCATTATTATTATTATTCTAAAGTACTTTTGTTTAAAGTAAGCCAAATGAGTTGTTGTTTTATGGCTGAGTGCAATCCATTTCTATCGGGTGTCTTATTGACACATCACAGATGTGGAGCAGTCATTTTTGAGGGGGGTATTTGTAAATCTTTAGTGAATTCTAGAGAGGTCTACAATTTTTAAAATGCCTTAGCTTATGCCACCTACTTGTCTATAGATGCAAGAAGGAACATGCCAATTGACATAATATAATCAGCCTGTCAATGAGGTCACATGGTGGAAGAACTCTGCGTGCATACTCGACAAGAACTCAAGTCATGAAAGGTGAGCCCTAGAATATCTGCAGTTTTCAAAGTGGATGATATCTCTTAAGGGAACCCGGATGTCTGGATGGGCCCAAGATAGAACCGCGATTCGTACCTTATTAGACTAGTTAATCAATACCTCCGTCAATATCTTCCCCAACACATGAAATAGGCTCCGTTTTCCTCTTACATTGCCATAGATCTACAAAAAATCTACTTTTCAAGGTATATTTTGTCAAATTTTAACTGACAGACGCTTAGTTGGCCGATAGCACGCATGTTACCTGTTCAATTATACCAAGATCAATTGCGTGCAGGGTTGTGGTTGTCGGTAGGATCACTGAAAAGGAAGCAATAAAAAGCATAGAGAGAGGGAGAGTGGTGGTGGTTTGCTTAATCACCATCGCGATTGCTCTGTTGTTCCAATATGCTGCGCATGAATCCCAACCAACCCCCCCCCCCATCTGCTTATCATTTCACGCAAACAAAGCCTCTCCACTTCCGACGGCAGTAGGTGCGAGGGGGGTGGCGCGTCTTTTATGTGTCGAAAAGAGCGCAAAAGCGTTTTTCGCAAATTCCGATCAATTCTTCACGGAATGTCACTCAACCTGAAAAAATAGGGATTACATTTCTATTGCTGTTTCAATTGAAAAAAAAATTAATCGAAATTTTGTAATTAAGCGGACAAGTGGAGGTGTTAACGATGTCATGTTGATATTTTTCCTTGTCTAGCATCTGCTTCATGAACCTCGCCCTGGTACTTATTCGCTCATTTTATTAATTAATTAGAAGCCTACCAAAGTCCTTCTGCATTTCCACCTGTCTACCTTCCACTTCAACACTACTGCTGCAGCCGAAGCGAAAACAGTCATCAAATTTGTAAGATCAATAAATAAATTCCGCCATGCCTTAACAACTGGTGATGATGTAATATCGATCGTCATTGCCAAATGCGCATAAGAGAGGGTAGGAGCGAATCTGACCCGAGGAGCTAGAATGAGGGCTTGAGGAAGATTGGGGTGTGTGTGTGTGTGTGTGTGTGAGTACGAAAATCAGGTATTCGTAACAAGTGCGGGTCCAGATGCCAACTGCTCATTTCGTTCATCTATCACAAGAAACACTCTGGGGGGTGGGGTGGGTGGGTGGGGGTGGGGTGGGGTGGGGAGAATTTGGTCTATGGCAAGGAAAATACGGCAACTCCATCCAATTTGCGCTTAAAGCCGAATAGGAAATGGAGTAGTCTGAAGAACTTTAAAAGAGCATATTATTAACCGAAATCCATTATAAAAATTCCAAGAAAGTGAAGCCTGTGTGGTGGAATCTCAAAGGCTTGAAAGGTAAATTGCTTTTGAAAATCCTATCATCAGGTTCAACCAATTTTGTCCTTGTTCATTCAACCAATTTAGTTCCTGCTTTAAACATTTGACGATCCACAGGACCGCACGCGATCCTCTTTCAAAATACGCTCCAATGGTACTAGACTCCTCAACAGAAGATGCCGTTGCCGTTAGAAAAACATGCTCAATACGTGTCTGTGGCCTTCGCCTGATACACCACCAAAACTCATCACGTCGACCGCATCAGCCTGCTGCTGTGAGACATTCGTGAGTGGGAAGTTAAAGGGTTAATTAATGTTCGGGAGAGGGGCGTCATATTCACTCCCTGCCCACTGCCCGATCTTCAATTCCTCCCGCTAGCTGCATATTCTTGCACCTGACAAGTTCGGTCCCCATTCTGCCTCGACAGGCGGCTAGAATTTGCTGAACGATGACAGGCGACTATCTTTAGCATTTTGTCTTGATTTGCTACAACACGAAGCCACGAAGCTCAATGTCGTAATTTGAAGAAAAATCGCCATCAACTTATAATAAGGTCAGGAATTTGTTGATCTTTACTTTTCACACACACACACACACACACACACACACACAAGGTCAGAGAGATCTTCTGATCTGATCTTTTGTCGCCCCTTTCCAAGTGCAACGATGCCGCACATAGAAATAGCGTCCATCTTGGATTAGCAAAACTTGCACTCTATCTAACACAGGGTAATTTTGGCTGAACATAATTGGGGGGGGGGGAGGGAACGAAGAGATAGAAGTGGCATTCAATAAAATTTTTATTGGCTCTTAATAGTTGAATTCCCTAATGAGATCGTTCATTGCATAGTTTGCTGTGTCCAATTTGAGGCCATTTTTGCTCGTTTTATTTTCTCAGCAAAGTTTCACCACCCGTTTTTGGCTTACTCGTCAATTGGACAAAGTTGACAATACGGTGACTCATTCCTTGAATGCGATTTTGATGCCGTCGGCGTGTTCTCGTGGGCTTTGGGTGGTCGTAATGAATAAAAATAATGGCTGGCAGACGAAACTGTGGTTTCTTGCAATCTGAAAGTTTGCCGATGCAATTAAATTATTTCACGCAGTTGAAACCCCTGGATGAATTTGTACATATTCTCGCACTTCTTGCTTGATGGTTAAGCGCTCATAGGAGCCAACGAAAACTTGGGATCATAATAACCGAATTGGGATGGGCGATAGACTTACCTCCACGTGGTGCACCCCGGGCAACGTATACTCATACGCCAAACAAAGCCTATTAACCAGCATTTGACTTTTGACATCAAATTATCATGACTCGACTGTATGTCATATTTGACCCCTTTCACAGTACTCATCTTACCTTTTATTTGCCTTTGTGTCTGTCTGTCTGTCTCTTTTACATATGTGAAACACTCTTCTGTCCGCTCTATGCCAAGCCCAAAGTCACCCTAAGAGCTATTGATAACCACCAAAACGTCTGCCATTTGTAATAACTAAATCAATAACGCTTAGTGATTATAAATGGTTCTACTTGAAAAAAACAACATCTTGAATGGTTAAATAAAGACGAACAAAACAATATGCTTATTAAGACTTCTTCTCATGATGTCAAAAATGAAATGGGCAACGCGGTGTGTGGAGGAGTGAGATTTGACGCCCATGACCTCACCAGTCATATTATTATCTAAGCATCCCTTCATATTCAATTTTGTTTTAGCACCCCACCCGACAGTAGAGCTAATCCTCGTCTCAGATCCTGCGAACACTGCCAAAATTTTAGGGCTGGCAAAAGACAAGTTACGTGAGGCTTCAGGAGTTCCTTTCGCACCCCCACAGTATTCGAATTTCATTCCATTGCATTGTGTGCGCCTCCTCTCATCCAATTGTTCTACCACTTAATGATCAACCGGAGCTTAAGAACCAGGTGGAAAGCGTCTTTCCGTTTTTCACACAAAACTTTACTCAGTTTAAACCTTATCTACTTTGTTTTTTTTCAGCCTAAAATCTTAAAATATATTATTTTAAAGTCCACTCTTTTTTCATATTAGTGCAATTCTAGTGAACACGAGGAAGAGGATTGAAAGACCGATCAACTCGGGCTCTTCGCCAAAACGAATTTGGAGGGTTCAATAAAGTAATAAAGTAAAACGCATAACATTGCAGCTGTACTCAAAACATAAAAAATTAATATTTATTAAAATTGCAACAAATTGAAGGGACTTAAATATTTTATTTTAAGTGAAAATTAACATTTATTTTGATATAATCAGAAAGACAACTTTGTAATTATCAATTTAATTTTAATTGAGGTTGAATGGCATTTCTCTGACATTGGCAAAATTATTTATATCCATAGAGTTATCAGTTGCAACATTCAAGTGATTTTAGAATCCACAGATCTTCTAAGATGCTTGAAAATTAAAGATGTTGGTCCAGGTACGATTTAGATGTTTCGGAAACGTTGAAAGACAAAATTCCGGATAAATTTTGTTACGAGTTTTGCTAAAATGCACCCCCACCTTTTAAGCGTGTTTCCATGAGACACAAATATTTCCTGAACGTTTTAAAGGCAGTCAGGATGCGTTTCAATGGAGGTCCATTTTTAACACTTTCCACTACTGTACAAAAGATGAGTATAATTGATTTGGAGTCTGGAGGCAAGTGGAATTTTTCAGCAGGACTTCGATCGAGTAAAACAATGGAAGGAACCACGAAGACGTTGAAGGGAAAGCCAAGATACAAAAAAATTCCTGCATTTTTAAATTCGTTGGTATGGTTTTACCAACTATTTAGCTAGTGCTTCGAACTTTAAATTTTATCACACGTCTCCTGGTTGATAGTAGTGTTACTTGCCTACCGTATCTATCACCTGTTGGCCGATCATGGGGGTGTGTTTTAGCACTTAAGTTCATTCCGAAATCTAGCTAGCAACATGATATTGCATTAGGTTTTCAGCGTTGAACTCTTAATATTGCAGAGTGGTGACAAAAAATATTAGTTCTGCATAAATATTCAGGTAGAAAAAACAAATCTATCATGTGCTTAATTCGACGTTAGAATATAACACGTTTCTTATTAATTTTTCAACACTCAAAATATTGTCATAGTGTTGATGTGCGAGCATCAAACGGGGG